AAGAGCACAGAATAAACATCGTCTCTGGATCTTGTAAAGGCAAAAAAGAAAAAAAGCCTTACAACAATGATACCCCGCTGACGAGCTATATTGTCTTTAAATGGATTACCGAATGACCTCATTAAAGCTGCAACGCCGAGCAGCAGCACACACAGGACCCCACGTTATTAAACCGCTGCTCCGAACTTTCCTAACAATACTCAGGGAGGATCATTAACGAGTATAATCTCTGAGAAAATAATTAATTTATCATTAACAACCTGCATGATAGTGCTCCTAAATTTTTTATTCTGCCTTTAGAGTAATTGCACGAGGGTAAACATTGCAGCGAGTTATATTGCCGCCTTAAACTTTAAAATGTGACTTTGAGAAGTTTATACTGCACGACCAGAGCACACGTCTCGCTAAATGTGTTTATGGGAGTGATTATTTTTTAAAGACAGCAGGAGGAATCTGACATTAATATTGCATTGTTTTTATTGCCAGCAAACATAAGGCTCATTCCTCCACAGCAAATGTGGCATCTGGCACCAAAGCCAGCGAGCTCCAAGTGAATAACTATTAGCGCTGATGGTACATAAAACGGGATTATGACAGCGCTGCCTACATGTTTATCCTGCGGCGCGGTTTTCAGGTGAGCCGCATTCCCTTCTGTTGGGCTCAGTAATCAAAGCTGATGCGATGTGTTGGCGCAGTGCTGGAGCCAGGATGTGGAACAACGTGTTCTTCTTTAAACGTGACCTGGTGGGATGATGCGGTATCAGATACCCCGTTAATCGGACTGGAACCGGGGGACGCTCACGGATTCGGGGCTTGGCACGGTGCATTGAACACACTCAGAGCTCTCACATGATGCCGGCTCCTTCTCGTCCTGAACAAGAGTTACTGTCCTCCTTAGGAATTTGGCACAGTCCCACCGGGGCTTGTCTTTGCAGGTGGAAGTTGGGTCGTACTTCTTAATGTTGGTCCGTGACTTTCCGCTTATATTTCTACAGCATCGAGGTCAGAATCAAACTAACTGCAGCTTAAGGGTGTAGGCCAACCTATTTTCAGTGTTTTGTGCTAAACGAACCGCCTGCTGGTGGGAACTTGATCTTCAACATTAAAGTGGAACTCTATCTCCTCTAACTCTTCACCAGAGTGCAAAGTTTGTACCTTACAAAGGGCCTGTTTCTTATGATAAAGGTTTTCCTCTAAAAAGACAACAAGTGATGGATAACTAGTGGTTTAAAAACATCGTTCTACGTGGTTCATACATTTGAAACGAGTCTCTACCTTTAACAGGAGGTGGACATCTACACCGTGAAGGCTGAAGACCTCTCGTTCACCTCGTCCTTCTGCCTGCAAATCCAGAGGAACGACTACATACATGCGCTGGTCACGTACTTCAACATTGAGTTCACCAAGTGTCACAAGAAGACCGGTTTTTCTACAGGTAGGATGGCACACACGTGGTCTTAGATTAGGTGTTTGTATGCAATAGAGCTACACCTTACTAATGAAAGTTAATCTGGTCCTCCACAAGAAAACAAGGAAAGAGTATAGCTTAGCTTGAAATCTCTTTAAATGTGCCACAACCTGTTATCTTCAATAAGCATAAAGGTTGAAAGCCGAGGGGCAGATCAAAGTTCCCCTTTAGGTGCATTTATGTGAGAACATAATGTCCTCAGAGGCCTAAAATCAAGACCTTTGGGTGCAGACACACAACTGACACAAGACATCTGCAGCATTAATACAGGAAGTGTTTCTGAAGCTCACCGTGTTTCATGCATGTATTTTTTTTTTTACATCTTGTGTGTTCCCAGTGGTGCTTCATTTAAAAAAAATGTCCCCGACTAATTTCCAAGCACTGGAATGATTGACATGATTCAGAGAGTCAGCATTGGTGTGATTCCAGGGAGTCGGTATCAAACCCTGTGTGTGACTGACCTCTAGTGGTGCTGCAGCAAAGATCATCTACAAGAGAAAAAAACATCCAGAAATTGAGATGAAAAGCCAAATGAATTGTTGTAACTGTTGGAGGAACAATAAATCTCTATTTGCTTCACCATCATGAGGACCTTGTAGCTTTCACACCAGCAGATATATCATTTCCTACCCGCTGCTTTGTCCGCCCTGCTCGCTGCCTTTTATTGATTTTCTGCAAGTTTGTCTGTCAAGCAAGTTTTCCCAATGTCAGACCTGAAGACTCGCCTGCCAGAAACTTGAAGACACACATCTAAACTTACAGCCAAAGCGTGCCGTCGATTCCCCGTACGGTCTTGAAAGACGGTTGCATCAGACACGGAGGAGGCTTCTCAGAAAAAGGCAATCAGAGGTCAAAGATTCCATTTCATGCTGGTCAGTAGAAATGCCATTTCATCTCCCGCATTAGCATGAGAAACACAACTAGCTCGTCGCTGCCTTTGTTGAACTGTGCCCCAAAAAAAGTGAGAGCCGGGCCAGGCTGACTGGCAGGCCCTTTTATCTATGGACTCACAAAGAGCTCGTCTATAAAGCCAGCGCTACCAGGCTACCCCAGGACAGCTGGCAGAAATTCCATTTAAGTGGTGCTGACCTTTTGAATCTCGGCCAAGTGATGTGATGGTCAGGGCACCGGGGACGCTCACATTTGTTTTGGAGCCTGGGTGTCAGGTTCTACCTGCCTGTTTCCATGCACCGGCACACACACACACACACACACCTACAGCACACACGGATGGATGCACATAAGGTAGAACAGTAGATCCAGAGTGGAGCAGTGATGAAAGACTGAAGCAGCAGAGCAGAGGTCAAGACAGTAGGCGTGCATTCTCTGGCATTTACCTGAGAGATGTCATCTTGAACTCACACCGACCTGCCTGCTCCGTCTCGCACTGTTGCCTCACTGTTTGTGTTTACGCTCTGGTAGAACAATTTGTCCGTTGCATGCTTGAGCAGACAGAAGATCCTTGGTTCCACTGAAAAGGGTTAACTGGACGGGGAGATGAACATGAATTATTGACGAGGGGAGGACACGCTGCACTGCTGCCTCGCATCTGAAACATTTAGACAGCTCAGGTTTCTACTGGTGCAGCTTTAGTCTTAATTTTTAATAGATCGTTACCATTTTGTAAGTCATTATTATTAACTTGGGTTGCCAGGTTGTGAAAGAACCCCCATCTCCTCATGTGGCTGCTAATCCATCCTCAAGTCAGCAGTTGTAGATATTACATCATTACTTAGGGAATGTTATACCTCATATCTATAGTTGAAGATTTTGAGAATTACAGCAGCGATTAATGAACACTATAAAAAAGGACTTTTTGCAATCTGGCAACCTGATGATTGTCCTGAAAGTGTGTTTCTGTGTTTGTGTGTGTGTGTGTGTGTGTGTGTGTTTGTGTGTGTGTGTGTGTTGTAGCTCCAGATGCTCCGTACACCCACTGGAAGCAAACCGTGTTCTACCTGGAGGACTATCTGACCGTGAGGAGAGGAGAAGAAATCGTCGGCAGCATCGCTATGAAGCCCAACGAGAAAAACATTGTGAGTATAGCGCTCCCTACTGTTCATGTTGTGTCAGCAGGAGTAAACACAGGACTTTTAATTAATTGAATCAATAAATAGTAATAATAAACACAATATAAACAATGCATTGCAGCACTGTGGGGGTCCTTACCTACAGGAATGACTCACTCCCTCCTCTCCGGTGCTGTGCGGCGGTCAAGCCGGCAGCAGCAGCAGCAGCACTGCAGTGACTTGAACAAACAGCAGGTTTTACTGTTGACCTTGCCGGCGTCCTCTCCTCCCCCTCTGGGATGGAGACGCAGCACCGCCACCGGCAGCTTTCTCCTGTTGTCTGACACAAACACTCAAGTGTTGATTTAACACCGTGCTCTGCTGTCGGGTCAAAGTGGAAAATCTGTTGGTAGTTTTTTTTTCCCCTCACGTTCCCCGGCGTGTTTGATCGATTGTTGTCTCACCAAACAGCCATGTTTCTCTGTTTCCGTCTCTCTCTTGCAGCGTGACTTGGACTTTACCTTTGAGCTGGATTTCAAAGGGCAGCTGTGTGAAGCGGCCATAGCCCACGACTACAAGATGCGTTAAGTTCGACTGTGGGAACGTCGGTGCCCCCCCACTGAGTCCAAGCCCCGAGCACCGGAGGGAGACAGAGACACTCCCATGACCACAGACAGACACACACAGTGGGATGTGAGCGGATCAAAAAGACCAGGCCGAGGAGCAGGCGGAGGCGGCCCCGTTGACAATATCAGTATTGTCTGAATAAAATGTACGATGAGAGCAGGAAGTTACTACGGCTGACTGTTAAACAAATCTGAATGTAACACTGACTAACGAGGTCAGGAATATTTTCTAGTCTCGATGAATGTTACTGAATATCGATGTACGTGTATGTGAGATGGAGTGACGTACCTGTGTGTTCTGTTCAGTATTTGTTTTCCACGATAACTTGGATCCGATGACGGGGTAGATTTTTAGAACACATAGAGCTCATCTGATGGATTACTGTAACGTCCACATTCTTTTATAGGTAGACAAAAAGTGTAATTCTTATGTCATATTACGTACCGTAGCGGATAATTATCGGTGAATATAATTTCATTTATAGTTTAATCGGTTTAGAGATGTTGGAAAATTAACAGCAATTGACCTCCACGGCCACGGACAAACAAATATGTGTCATGTGAACGGTAACATGTGCTTGCGTAGTCGGTGTACTCGTGGTTTTCTGTGAGTGTGCAGTAGGAGGTGTCGAAGCTCACGCTGCTGGAGAAGCTTGGACTCCACGTGTGCTCTGTGTTGTCAGTTTGAGCTGTGATGATGTTGTTGACATGCCAATAACACATTTCTTCCCCTCCTCCCCCCACATCCTAAATGCCTTGACCAAGTGCCGAAGTGTACCTCGTTCTGTTCCGCACTGCTGCATCTCGCTTCTCGCTTTGGTTTCTTACACAGATGCTCGCCACTCCTAATGTGTTTTTTTAATTAGATATTACTTAAAACACAAGCCATGATGATTCTTTACAACTGGACATCACTCATTTTATTATTAAGCAATCAAACCCTACATCTTTCACTCTAAGCAACTCGATGTGAGACGGACACGAGGAAGTGTTTCTAAAGAGAGTCAATGACCTGCAGTAACCCCGTACCAACATCTTAACCTGAACCAAATTTATTTATATTCAGAAACTTGTTTACAGGTTCCTCCAGGACGATCATATAAGACATGATGCCGGCTGACTCAGACTCCAGCTGCATTACACCGCAGTGTATGGAAGCTGATGAAAAACATCTTTCCATTTCACACGTGCTCTTACTAAGGTCATTGCCAAGGTACCCACTGCAGGGTTTTCTTTAGTCAGTACACAGCTCTAGATCATCTCAAGAGGGTTTACACTTACTGGAAGCTTGCATTCGTGTTTCAGTTTCCGATTTAAAACAATATCAAGTATTTGATAAGACATTACGTTTCCCAGATTGTGTGTTCTATGATATCGCCCAGAGACAGCCAGTATCCAGCCTGTGTTCCTACGTCTTCTACACCGTGCAGACGACCAATCAAAGTGTACGTTCTGTGCACTTGGAAGCAAAAGAGATAAATCATCATAAAGCATGCAACTAGTGCAAGTAACAATCAACAAGCCGTGCATCAGCATCGAGCTGTGATGTTGTTTTCTTTGCTCCTGTGAATGTCACAGGGCCCCCGGTGGTGCAAATAAGCAATACAGTGCTACGAGTTATCGATGCTTACAATCAATTACACATGATAGGTCTTCTTATATACGTAGAATAATACTTACATTGGAAGGGCGCCTCTGGAATCTGAAGGAGGAAGTTTTCTAATAAATATTTGGCTGCTCAGAATAAACACAAACTTAGATTCTATAAGTCATACAAACTCTAATAAACCGGCATGTTGATTGCACATATATTATCTTTTCTTTTTTTTAATATATCCAATATGTTGTTTCACATATTGTCATGTCAATTCAAAAACTGAATAAACTGCAATGGTCAAACTGATCCACTGGGTGGCGCTGTATAGCTGATCTTATTTTCAGTGTTCCAGAAAGAAGAACTTTTGATGCTTTGCAGGTGACATACACATAAACATACATCTTTTAATTTATTTCTATTTACATTTGTTATATACATTTAGGTGATGTGCACGATGGTGGCAGTAGTGAAGCACAAGAAATGACAGAGAAAGAAAAACCTGTTGAGTTTGAACCACACTCGTAACAGTGACGTGATTTCATAAAATACTTGGCACCACAGCAGGTTAAAGGGAAATGAAGTGTGCGCCTAGTTTTGGTTTGTCTCGTCTACCAGCTGTTAACAAACCTCCGAGCTGCCACAACAAAAACATCACAGAACAATGTACAAAAGATGCACAAAAACCACAAACATTTATGATAATAATAAAAATTCTATCACTTATAAGAGCCCTGGAACAAATACGACGATGTTTTATGTTGGTTCAGTAGCTAGTTTTTTTTTTTCACTTTGTGCACCAGCTGAACAATATCCTGAAACACCAGTTTTAGTCCCAACTGTACCCACAGACATAAATGAACATGTCAACTAAAACTAAAAGCAGTGCTGTTTGATGATGCATTCACCTTTAATATAGTTAAAAGCCCACATTTGGCAGGTAAAGGGCCTTTAGAAGCTAAATAAATATATGAAATATCTCAGAGTTACAGTTAAGTGTGAGGGAATATCCTGCATTTAAAAAATATCCTATAAAGTTTGATTCAACAGAGACTTTGTACATTTGTTCAGCTCAGATCCCACCCTGAAGACAAAACCCACTTTTCTTACATTATTATTTATTTTGTTAGTTTTACTAAATCTTCACAAGCTGGAGCTACACATTTATATATATATAATGATGTGACACTATCTGTGGCAACGTGATCCGTTTGGTTGAAGGTCAGTGACCGGGTGAAAGGCTGCTGAGTCAGCGGCGTGTCCTGTGATCACGCTGTGTTTCTTAGTGAAGGGTAGTGCTACTGTGTAAGTGTTAACCGTTTATCCGCTAGCAGCAGGATCGCTTCTTCTCCGAGGGGCTGCCGACCAGCTCGACCGTCTTCTCCTTCTCTCGGTCCTCTTGCTCTTTCAGAATTCTAGGAAACATAAATGAGGCATAAAGAGATGAACCTGTTCTGACACCTTGATGCCCTTCTGAACGTTTGCTGTGCAGCTGTTCCTGCTGCTGCACCCTGACCTGCACAAGCTTTAGCTCTGATCAGAGGGGCCTTTGTCACAGCAACAGATCCAGAAGAGCAGAATCATAACGCTGACTCAAACTGTGTTTCCATATGCATTCATATCCACTAAGTACAAAATGTTGACTCCTCGCAGAAACGTCTTAATTAGTAGCCGGCTGCTCTGCAGACACTTTTCTTCACAGATGATGTTTTGACAGCACATAGCAGGAAAGGCGCAGGTGTATTAATAATGACTGACTGACGACCCACACAGGAAAGGTCCTACGCTGGCTGGGTCACTGTCACGGCTTTCCATCAAACTAAATGGAAATGAGTCATCATCGAGGTTATCATTATCTCTTGTGCCTTTTCCGCTGTGACGAGTCAAAATGTGAGACATGCAGTGAAAAACGTCCATAAAGTAAGATAACGTTCATGAACGACAAAAGGCTTTTCTGGAGCATCTTTTGATAAACGCGTTTCGCTGAAGTCCCTGACATCCCACAAAGAGGAGACAAAATATGACTTGATTGATTTTTCGCTTCACAAAAAAAGAAAGTGTAAACAACTGCAGATATTTTCTCTCGGGAGCGACTGCCTTCTGAAGTCATCTTCAGAACGACACGATAAGAAAAAGCTCCTTTGTGCTCGCGGAGCCCAAAGTAGCATTTCAATTTCCTTGTTTCCAAACAGAAATAGTCTTCTGCTTCAAATGCTTTACGAAACTCCATATTTAACTGCTTCTCCAGTTGTCTTTAACCTATCAGAGGCCAGTACATGTGCTTACCTGGCTAAATGAACCATGGACTCCACCACGTTGTGTCCAGAGCAGGCGCTGCATTCATAGAAGGACATCTGGCAGTCCTACATACAGGTCAGATGATGACAACAGCAAAGAAATGATGAGAGAAACTCCAGTCGGACGAACCGTGTGCCGACATATTTTAGAAATGATTACAGGATAGGCTTCTCGAGAAACACAAAAAGTAAATCATGTGGTTAAAACTGCAAAAGGACAAAGAACAAACACTTCTCGTGCAGTAATATAAACTCATAAAGTCCTTTCCAGTCACCATAGAAACTACAACACAGGAATAAAAAGCAATAATGACTAATAAAGAAAACAAACATGACGAAAACAGCTCCAGGATCTGCTTCTCCAATCGATCATCAATCTAGTTTCTTTCATTTATCGTCTGACTGACAAGAACTTAGGGGAAAAAAATAAACAGAAACCTTGGCCAGTCTTTCACCCACTGCTTTCTGAACTTGTCTCTCAGTCTCCTTGTCGGTTTTGTTTCCCAGGAGCATGATGGGAATATCTTCACCTGCACCTTCCTGTAAACAGGAGGAGAAGAACACGTTCCTAAGAGAGTCCGCTGGGGTTAAAGACAAGCCTCTACCTATCTGGAACAACAACAAACTAAAATACAAACATGTTGTCTGTGAGAAAGTGCAGAGCAAAGATTTCTGCCGCCGTACCTTTACACTTGTCAGCCACTGTCTTACAGCTGTGAAACTCTGCTCGGCGGTTATGTCATACATCACAGCCACCCCGTCGGCTTTGCGAAAGAACTGTTTGGTGATGCTTCGGTACCTGCAGGAGGAGCAGCGGAAAGGAGACAAAAGAGGACGTGTTCTGGTTTTTCATTATTCCAGAGAAACTCCCCGGGCTTCACCTGCCTCTTTAGAACATTTAAAAATATGAGAACGATGTTTTCAAACGACTTGCTGAGGAGCACGAGGGTGAGAAGAAACTGAGAAACATAAAAATTTGAAAAAGCACACCGTTTTGGAGGAATCTACTGGCAAACAGTGACCTTATAAAAAGTACCAAAGTGAGTTCTGTTCATCTGTGACCATCTCAGCGTGCTGAAGCCTCACCTCTCCTGTCCGGCTGTATCCCACAGCTGCAGGGCAACCTGGCTGCTATCCACAGTTATAGTCTTGACGCTGTAGTCGATACCTGCACGTACAGAGAAGACGTTCAGGTGAGCACACACTGCTTTTGGAAACACATGTGTACCGATATGGAATATACACGGGCCTAAATAAATGTGACTGTCTCTTTAAATTTAGGAAAACAAAAGTATGAACATGTTGTAAATGCGACGCTACACATTCTGAGCTGCTTCCCTTCTCTGCTGTTCTTTTAAAAATGTTTGGACTGAGTATAATTTTGATTCTTTTTCTATCTGCTGCACATCAATAAGAAATCCAACAGCCATCGTGTGAACTGTACGTACATCATTGTAGCCAGACCACAACCAAAGCAGTGTGCAAAAAGGTCAACCACAAGGGTGGGGGGGTGCGACATCTTCACTTACAGGAAATGACGATATGTACGCATCTGCACATGACATACCCACAGTGGCAGAAGTGCCTGGGTGGAAGCACTCGTCACAAAACCGCCGCAGCAGTGAAGTCTTTCCGACGCTAGAGTTCCCCACCAGGACGATCTTGAACAGGCGGTCGGGCGCTGAAAGACCACCTTCCTCCTGGAGAACAGTAACGGTGGGAGTAGAGATTAAAGGTTCAGGACTATCGGTCAAGTGGCTGCTTCCTATTAGTGTGAGGTGGACTACAACGGCGTGATGACGCCCTCTCACTGGGACTTTAACATGTTTCTTTCCTACATCTACTCTTTGTCTTTACTTCTAGTTACAGCGTTCCTGCAGACATTAAACGCTAATCAGAGAACGTACAGGGCAGTCTGTGAAGTGTGCCTGACATACGGTGTAGCACTCAGTGTCTACATGCTTACATTTATGCTGGTCTCCTTGCCAACAGGTTGACCCCTTGGAGATGTTGGGATTTCCGCTTTCTCCACACTTGCCTTTGATTGCTGCTGCTGGGCTGACGGGTAAATATCACTCATCATCAAGTCTATATTTTCTTCACCGTCTGAGACCTCCTCTCCTTCGTTACACTCTTGAAGAGGGCTTTGGGCCTGACAGTCACTCAGCAAGTGGGGGAGGTGGTCCTCTTCGATGGAGATGATCCTCTGGAGGTGTCCTCTTGCCTGTGCTGGGACAGATGGCTGGCACGACCCGTTGGCTAAGCTCTGCCTCACAGAGCTGGAAGTCAGCTCCTCCTCATCCTCGCTGCAGCACAACAACACGATGGTGATGACAGTGATGACAACAACTGCAGCTTGCACTCAGTAACGTGTTTAATTCATCAGCTGTAGATGGTTTACCTTTTGAAGACGTTCGTGCTCGTGTGTCTCAGCGCAGCGATCGAAGGCCTCTGCATGAAACCAAGTGTGTTCACAGAGTTCTTTGGTTTCTGCACAGTCAGAACATAAAGGATTTGTTCTTAATGTGACAGGAGATTTCCATTCTGCTCTCATTTTATGCTGTTTCTGATCTTTTAAAAGACGATAATGAGCACAATGTGCAGAGACGGTAAATCTGAATAATCAGACGAAAGCATTCCGATACATGAAACGCACCTGATAGCACATGTCCCTTTCATCCCGTAAATGCTTGTTCATTTCCCTGGACACAACAAAGACAGAGAGACAGAGCACACGGTGAGAACCCAACATGTTCCTGCTATTAAACAGTGAATATTGTCCAAGTGGTCGAAGTAATTATTAACATGAACAGCTTGTTTGATAATGTGCTTGTCATGATCGGTCCTGCTGCTCCCTGAGGACAGTCTCAGATGTAAGTATTTGCAGAAGTGCACATTTTCTTTGTTCTTAATGCTCTGTGCCTCGGTTTGCATTAATATAGAAGAACCGTGGGAGACAGCTCTTTAAACATACAGTAGCTAAAGTTTAGAGGTTTAAAAGTGATTGAAAAGGCAACACAAAATCATCATATGTAATAAAAAAACAATCCTATGCAGTCAATGATTGCTGAATCTTTGATGCTTCAAGTTTAGCAGAGACTTTCTCTCCCAGGGCTTCACTGCAGCTAACTTCACTTCTTGCAGTATTCTGGTTTCAGCAAGTGGAATACAGTTCAATCAGATTAAGGTCAGGTGATTGATTCAGCAGGTCAAACATATTCCATTTCATCACCCTGCTCTCTGCTTGCTTTGACCATAAACTCAGAATCGTTGCCCTGCTGAAAGATGAAATGTGGGCCGATGAGATTCAGCATGTGACTGAATCTGTGCCCACAGAAGGCTCCTGTATACCAGCACATTTGTCTTGTTCCTTAAATCAGCCTTGAAATAAATGCTGGTGTGCCAGCTCCACTGGCAGCCCTCACAAAACCACACCGTGTTTGATGTTGAAATGACACTCGGCTGCCCATGAAACATTTAGTAGCCAGATACATTCGCAGCCCTGCAATTTGGGCATTATGTGTTGAAAGAGTGATGTCTCACACTGAGTTCTTTTAGTATGTAAACCTACTCAAATTAAAGCTGAAGCTTGGCTTTTTAAAAGCAGTATTTATTATTTAATTTCACATTGGGTGTACTGAAGCAAAGAGCCTGAAGAGAAAAGCAGACAGAAACGTGTAACTGTCTGAATGGTCTGGACTGTATATTAGAGAAATTCACTCCTTGGATAATCAGAGAGGATCCTTGAACATTGAAATGGACTGTAAAGCAAATAATCCTTCTGAATAAGCTGAAGTTCAGAAACTAAACTATCTGGCTTTGTGTTGGAACCACTGTTGTGTCAAATAAACTACAAACTGAGATTTGTTTGCATCGACCAGCATTGTTCTGATTTGCTGCATCTTTAAGTTATTTGTCGCTACATGTGAGCAGCAGCTTTTGTTTAGTTTTTTTCAGCTTGACAATATTGATTTTGCAGCTTATCTTTTAACCTGTAGTTACAGAGCGACTGAAACGAATCCCAGATGCATACCTCAGGAGGTCCAGCTGTTTGAGGAGGCTCGTCCGCTCTCTCTGCAGTCCTTCTGTAAGCCTGTATACCTCCCTGTGTTCAACAATAATCCATCATTAGTAATATTACACAACTATGAAGAGACAATAGGTTCTGTGGTTAAACTATAAATTGAACAAAAGGCATTGTCTATTCTTGTCTAGTCTCTTTAAGCTACAGTATCACAGCATTTAAAACACATGATATGTCTGAATGTGGCTGCAGTATATGAGAACAAATGTCAAAGGGAATCAGCTTAAAGATCCATAAAAATGCTTGTGGGTAACAGCAGCTAGAGTAACTTTAGGAATCTAATTGGTACAGTTATTACAGGTTTCTGCACAGCTGCTCAGTGTAAAGCGTGGCTGACATGGACGTCTATCACAGCCTCTCTCTGAAGTAATGATGTGCTGCTGATTAATCACAAAGAAACCGTGAAGTCAAACAATCAGGGCTGGAGTTACAAAGACACCTGATTAATCAGCTAATCATTCACATCTCCCTCTCCTCGTGAAGTCTCGTCGACTGCTCTTGGAGTAAACTCAGCTGCTCCTGGGCCAAGGTCAGCTCCTGGCTGGTGTGCTCCAGCTCCCGCGCCAGCTCGTCGTTGGTCTGCTTCAGCTTCACGTTCTCCACTTTGGTCACGTGTTGCTCACTGTGAAGCTCGCGGCACTGACACTCCAACTGATGGGTGGAAACAAAGGAAACGAGGATAGCTAAATATTACAGGATTAGCCAGACGCTGAGTCACATCATCACCATCAATACAGTTTAAATGTTCTTATGAGTGTAGAAAAAACTCAAGACTCTTAGCAGTAAACATTCTTAAAATATATTCCAATCATTGTGCTCTCAGTCCGTGTTTCAATCCTTCATATGATGGACAAGAGACAGGAAGTAATAACAGACATGTCAGAACTCTGACTGCATATAGCAACAAGCTGCACTAACACACACTGACCACGCTGGATGCTTCTTAAGACACCTGTTATACCAATTTATGGCTGAATGTTCTCCACAAACAGGCGTCTCGGTAAACACTTTGTGAACTGCTGATATATTAATTAGCGTTGCTAAGGAGCCGTGAAGAGAAGAAGAGTCCTTGTTGGCATAAACTGAATTCATTTCAGCTCGCCTTAAAAGCATCGGTGCAAACCTGTGAGTGGAGGTGTGACATCACCTATTACTCTTTATCTGAGGTTCATAAATACAAGGTTATGTTCCTGCTGCAGAAGAAGCTCTGAGGAGCCTTGATTAGATTTTATCAAATAGACACTGTTTAAAATAACCACTAAAAGTGTGTGTTAAGAGAAGGTTAATGCTGCTGTGCAAACATTCTGTCTCGCTGCAGTTAGACTGTTTATGAGTATGTTTTCAAATGCACAACCTTCTGCTTAAATAAATAAAATTACTTCTAGGTCACAGATTAGGTAGTAAACTCAGCCATCGCAAAACACTTCTAACTCTCATTATGCCTGCACTGGATGTACTGTAGACTTACCTTTGTTTGGCAGTGGAATATGTTGGGAAATGTATTTGAATAGTTAGACACTGCATGCAGGGATCTCTCAGCATATCGATGGTGAAGAGGTGCTAAATCTCTTTATTCATTTTTTACAGCATCTGTCGTCTTGTTTACTGCGTCTCACCTGCTGTGCTGCTCTGGGATCAGTGAAGTGAGAGACTGTTTATTGGAATGTCTTTCTCTGTGACTGTGAATCAACCCTCTGAAGGAAATGTTAGCTCCCACTCACCCCTCTCTGCTTCTGGAAGAGTTGCTCCAGCTCCTTCTCCTTGCTGGACAGCTGCAGCTCCAGGTCCTGACTGCGAGACAGAAACCGCTCGTAGTCCTCGAGCACAGCGATAAAAGAGACATCAGGAAGAAAAAAAAAAACAACAACAGCAATGAAAAGAAGATAAATATTTGACAGAGTGAGGAGAGATTTCTGGTGTCAGACGTCGACATCACTACTGGGTTTGTACCTGCAGCACAATCCGATCTTTTTCACTTTTGATCTGCTGCTCCATTTCCTCATAGAGGCGCTGGATCTCATCATCATGTGTTGCTGCTTTCCTGCATGAATAAAACCCAGATGTGATCACGTGGTACGCACCTCAAGTAATACATACATCGATCAACACAATTTAACTTACATGATGTAATGTAGCTACAGGTGGCAGAGAGATGAGCTCCTTTCCTGTGAAACTACGTCTGGGAGGCAGACATCTTGTCTAATTTAAGATTTGGCTTAAAACTTCACTTTATGAATAAAAAATACATAGTTAGGGCTGACTGTTGAAACTGAAGCACCTCTTACTTATGCTGCCAGGAGACATCCCATGATGCACTCAGCATCTCCTCGACTTGTACTTATATCCCACTATTGCATGTCATTAACTCTGTGCTTTTTCGTCTCCATCTTCTGTCTCACTCTGGACTTTTCTGCAGCCATCTCTAGCTGTGAAGTTTCAGGTTTCTGATTTATGGCTGCTATCCCCACCAACCTGCTGTTTATTCATCTTTTCTCTCTGTCACCTCAGACCGGCTGAGGAGGACGGTCACCCACCCTGAGTCTGGCTGTGTCAACGGCTTTATCTTTAAAAAAAGGGAGCTTTCCTCCTGAGTATCATCCGGTGCCTGCTCAAGGGGAAACTGTTGGGTTTCTGTCTGCAGTATTGTACAGTCTGGATCTTACCACGTAAGATGATTTATGTTACGTTTGGCGCTATGAGCATGAAACTGAATTGAACTGCGTTGTTGATGTGCCCTAAGAAACAACCGGCGTGTAAAACCCATCACTCAAGAACATGAAGCTCTACACATGGAAACTGCTCTCTTAAATAATGCACACTCTGGTTAGGGAGCCACTTAACAGCCCAGAGAAGCCTCCAAACTGTAATGAGCTTCTGATATAGTTTGAACCTTCCACACTAAATATATGAAGATGCACACTGACCTTTTGAGGGCGCTCTCCATGTCCCTCTTCTCCTGGTTGGCCTCTATGATCTGGGATGTCACTCTGGCCAGGAAGTCCTCAAAGTTGGACAACAGATGTGGTTCGTCCCGGCGCAGCTGGGCCCACAGGCTGCGCACCTCAGCAGGCCTGATGAGGCAGGATTACAGAGCCGGTGTAAACAAGTGCACTGTCAGTGTGGATTAATATTAGTGAGCATTTTCATGAGGTTTCACAAGCAATTAAAGAACTGAAATAAAGTGTAGAAGCAGCAGCTCAGGTCCCAGGTTTGTAGGGATACATACAGATTAGTTATCGTCTATCTGCATCATGTCCTTTTTCTTCCACTGGCCTGTATCACACCACGTTAACAAAAACGTGCACCAAATCCAGCTGATACACGTCTTACAGCGAACTGTACAATGCTGCTGCTGCTGCTGCTTTTGTTTGGGTGCACATAAGAGGAACACGCTCTGTTATCAGCCCTCATCTGTTGTTGTGTAAGGATGCGGGTGTGAGTGTTCAATAGGCAGATTTCTAAGGAGACAGGCTGCAGAAAACCTTTTTTTTAATGATTGTAACATGATAGACAGCTAAAACTGCTGATGTTATATCCTCACCAGCAGTGCACTTCCTGATTTTGCTACAGCGAGCTTTAACATGTGACTGCATTCGAGTCTGCCTCTTATAAACAGACCCGGGACCGGATCATCATAGCATGCCTGGGCTCGGTACATACTGGAGTTTGGGCTCAAACATACCCGAGTACAGTACGGAGAGAGTGTAAAAGCACTCTCTACATCTGTAATTATTATCACACACACAAAAACCACACTGATCACAGTTTGTTTGAATCGTTTTGTGTGTTTCAAGGCCTACAGCGAACAAAATACTGAAGAGAAGCAGTGAGTGTTGTAGAGATCGGTAATCAAAACTGCACAGTGAGATAAATGTATGAACTACGGTATAAGGAAAAGTAATGAGCTTCTGAGCTATAAAGTCAGAAAAACTCAAAAACATCACTGAAATACCTAAAGTCTGACCAACATCAATAACAGTTACTGCTGCACAAATGGATCTGATCTTAAATGTCATTCAAATGTCTCCAGGCCTAAAGAGGCGGGTGGAAGCCGATAATCTGGCATCCACCTTCACCGCTGTTTACTTTTATTGAGCCGGAGCTGTTTGTTAAAGGTGAGTCTGGTCATGCATTTCATACGATTCTGTCATATCTTCAGTCTAGTGAAACTCACTCCAACCACAGTGACAAATGACCGGTTAATATGTCAAGAAAGACCCATAGAGGGACTTTAATGATTCAGATGAGTTGGTGAAAGCTTTGTGGCTGTTTCAACAACTGTTTAGAGAAAAGAATTGAACTTTAAAGCAGCAACACTGAAAGAGGCAGAGCACAGATTGCTTCGTGAGGCTTTGCTTGAGGGTAGAAACCTCCAGCTTCTGCATAGTTAGTACAGCTGTCACGTAAAGCGTGGTATAGACTCAAGTTAGATGACGCCAACAAAGTGTGGAACGATAGGAAGTCGACCTAGAAACACAAGCTGTAATCACACACACAGCACTCACTCTTCAAAGACACTGTTAGCTCCGAGGCTCTCCATAAGCATGCTAAAGTGTTTCTCCTCCTCCTCCTCCTCTCCTTTGGCCAGGCTCTCCTCCCATTGGGTCTGGTACAGGACCTCTGGCAGGCTCTTGCTCGGCTTTTTCTCCCCCGTGCCTTCCTCTGCAGAAATCTTCTGGCCAAACAAAAACTCACCTGAAAAAAGAAGTCAAGAGCTGAGGTGCAAACTCAAAACACCACAGATTCTGATGACAGGAGTAAAAGCGGTTAAAGCTGGAAGACGTACTGAAGCCGGAGGAGAACTCCTCGAGGGTAAGGTATCCGTTGCCATCGGAATCAAGGGTATCGAATACGTTCTCCAACTCCTCGGCGCTGAGGGGAAGCTCTCTGTTCAGCCTCTGTTCAACAGGACACAAATCACAGCTGCAACTGGCAAAAGCAAAGTTTCAAGGACGTGAACATACTGTAGCTATAACAACTGCTACTGGAAGAAACCGTGTGCTGACGGTAGTCCGCTGTACCTTAAAATAAGACTAAATTAGCTCGATAGTGTCTTCGTGATTGTTTCCTGGCCTCCTTCCACCGGCTGCCTGCACTTCAGGGTTCACTTTAAGATTCTTCTATTTGTTTTTAAATCTTTACATGGCCTCGACCCGCCCTACCTCTCTGAGCGTCTTCACCCCGACGCCCCTGCACGGTACCTCTGGTCAGCTGATCAGCTGCTCCGTCAGGTACCGAGGTCCAAGCGAACGCTCAGAGTGGACCGAGCGTTCTCTGTTGCTGCTCCTAGAATGTGGAATGGCCTACCTTTGCACATCAGGCCGGCCTCCTCACTGTCTGCTTTTAAAACCAATCTTAAAACTCACTTTTATTCACTGGCTTTTAACCCAGCGTGAGATCTCGCTCTGTTATAGTTGTTTTTATTGGTTCTATGTTGTTTTCATGACCCCCCTTTGTTTCAGCTGTGGCTGTTCTCTATAAATAAAGCTGATTTGATTTGATTTGACTTAGTGCATGTTTCACAAAACGCACCCTCTTCAGCAGCACGGTGCTCTACAGTCATGCAGCTCAATGCTTTAACACGAGACTTCCTGGTGCAGCTACCGTCTTCACTGACTGACCACCGTGCAGCTCCACCAGGACAGATGGTAGCTCAAGTGTCAGTGTCAAGCACACTTTAACACAAGATCAACACTCAAGTAGACTCACGTATTATTTGAGAGAGGAGGAGTGACAGCTGCTTCTTTACCGACAAGTTTTTCCAAGGAACAGGACTTAGTAAGATCCTCCCAAAAGAAAAACTGGACCATGACAGTAACTGCTGGACTGTTTTCAAGAAAAGCCAACACAGCCACACCTTTGTGGGCAGCTTGTTCTCTCTGCACTGTTTACACTGGTGACAAATGTTGACTGAAGCCACCCTGACAATCCAGAGCAGGCACACAACGAGGATACCACCTGCGTAAGATGATCAGCTGTTCTTGTAAAGTGCGTTATCTGGGCAGAACATGTGCCTCATGTGAGCAAACAGGGCGACTGTAAAGCTGTTGGTCGTCGTGGTGTGAAAGGCGCTCTGAGCTGTGAAAGTCCAGCAAATATTTTGTGACTGAAACTGCAAAGTCAACAGAAACTAAACATATGTAGTACCACTTACTTAGTTCTGTATGATCATAAATCTCTGGTAGATATACAGAAAGTGTAAAACAAACATAATAATGTGAAATAGGGTTTGTACTCTTCAGCACAGACGGCTGTATAAACAGTGTGGAGAAGGACTGGACCACTGTCCTGCCTGCCATCTCATTTATAAACCATTATGATAAACACCAGATCAAAGCGTACCCTCCATGTATTTATGCTTCTCAGAGCGAGAGCCTAGAAGTGCTTCATCAAAGGATTAGCCTTGGCAGGGATGAATATCCAAGGGGTAAGTGAATCTGCACAATAATGTGAGTGGAGGAGCTGCATGACAAAGCGTCCACATGGCGCTCTGTGTCTCCGGCGCTTTCATGCCGCTTTGAATAAGGTGCACATGTTGTATCCATGTTCTGCTCAGCATTACTAATGATGTGTATGGACCGTCCCTGCCTTTTATTCTGGATGAATGAGGAGGTGTAATCACTAAAAACAATAAAAATAAACTACACTGTGGTGAAAATGTTCCAAACTTATTGACTGGAAGTTATCAAAGCTGGTAGTGATGTGATGCGTTTCTATCACTTTTACACCGAAATATGATCTAACATAAAATCATACAAGTTCAATTATTATACCTGCTCCAATGCAGCAGAGAAGACTCAGTGGTTTCAGACATTACAACTTCACAGGTCTGTCGTCACCCTTCAGCCAGCAGCCTTACCTGCATGTCACGCCGGTTGATGAAGCCCTTGCCCTCGATGTCGCACATCTGGAAGAACTCGTGAGTTTTCTCCAGGATCGTGTTTCGTCCGACGTCCCCACTCTCGCTCTTCCTCGGGTCACTCTCGTGTACCTTATCGCCTCCTTGCCTTTGCCGTGCAGTCTGGGCCGCCACTTTGCTCAAGGTGTTGTTGTTGTTGATACCTGGAGCAGTAAAAGCCGCCATGGTGTCTGTGAGTCTGCTGATGCGAGAGCGTCTCCTGCGTCCTTCACATGAGCCAGGTACAGCCAGAGGTGCGCAGGAGAGAGATCCCGCCGAAGTCGTGCTTCAAGCTGCTGCACATGTGAGCCTTTCACCAATGACACCGATTGTCATCTCTTAGCAACCGCCTCTTTAATTAGTTGATGAAACCTATGAAAGACAGGAGAGTCTTCGGTTACAGCCTCTTGTCCACTGAATACAGATTATCATAATAATAACAATAACACAAAGAAGAATGTTGTATGTGTCGCATCACATGGGTTAGAAAATAAACAGAAAACAACGGCCATGAAAGGGAGAAAATATTACATTGAAAAGCGAATTCAAATAAAGTCTGATTTGAACATGTATTCAAGAATAGTTGTTGATCTATGCATGAGAAAGGCATAAAAAACAGCCAGTAGGTGCATCATTGTTGTGTAAATGTAGGTTCTTTATCGTTCTTTCTACTACAAACACACACAAACATTGATTCTGAGTCTGACTTGGTGTGTGTCGTCTGCCTAAAACAACTGTTGCCGTCCTCTTTCCCCTCCTCAGACTAATGTCATCCGACAAGTAAACCAAAGCTGAACAGAAACTTGTGGTATGACGAGGGCAGTCTCGTCTGCCAGGAAATATCGACCGATGCAGCTCCGTTAGTGGGTTCTGTGCAGACTACAGCTTCTTGTGCATCGGTTTGGAAGACCGCCTTCCAGCTGTGCAGTTTGCTCAGTCGATTCATGAACAAGTGCATCACAAGGTGTGTGTCTGTGTGGGTGTGTGTGTGTGTGTGTGTGTGTGTGACGGCCCACGCAAATATGTGGGACAGGTAGAAGGAAAATAAACTGGCATGCAAGTAGGCAGATAGCTGGACAGAAGACAACATCAGATCACATACATAACGTCATGACACACAGATAAACACGCTGCAGCCTCGTCTGACTTGTGCAAGAACAACTAGTTTCTGACTTTTTTTTGCTCATACTTAAGTATCTATAATTAATACATTTAATCTCCAGTAACCTTCATCAAACCTGAGTAATAAAAAACTTTTTTGCATGTTGGACTGATCTGATTTTCAACAAGAAATTTTTCATCCGGTTATTTTAATTTAATTCAATTCTATTTAAAACAAAAACAAAGTGTATTACACCTCATGAAATAGTTGCTATTTCTGAATCTATCATGCCTGGAAGTTTGAGCCCAAACATTGGGCAACGTTCTGCGAGCATGACACGGCTCACGAGGAACCGCCTGCAGTGAGCACGACGGGTTTTAGGCATGACAGAGGAAATAAGAAAGGGAACTAAGGTGAAGTGCTGTTTGGAAAGAGAGTGATGTAGTGCTTTTTTATTTCCGGTACACAATAAAACACGCCTGTCTAATCTGTATATGCTGCACTATTCACCATATGGCACCTAAAGGTTAATGAGTCCTTTGTTAAAACTTGCAGTGACCAAGGACGGGAGTGCAGAGATATCAGACAAGAACACATCTAACAGCACCCTTACACTACACTTAACATTCTCAGGCTAGCTTCACCAGGCTGGAATCTGAAGTTTAGCAAATAAAACAATATCCTCACTTCTCCAGGATCCAAGGCGTAAATGCAGCTCGCTGCTTTGCATACGTATCTTATCTGTTCTAGGGCTCGACATGCAGCAGCTGGTGGAGCTCCAGCAGTTACCGAGCAAACACGGACATTGCGGTCAGGACCTCAGAGAGACAAATTTAGCTTTTGTTTTTAGAGTTCTAACCACAGCAGGTTTCTGCAAAAACTCTTTTGTTTCTTTTGTACTTGTGCCTAATCCCCAATCAGCAAACAGTTACAAACTTTAAAAACAAGCCATAACCATCACAATGTCAGCTTTCTAGGATGTTAAGCTGCCTGACGTGTGATTTATTAGAATAAGTCGGTCCAGGTCTTGTGGATGTGATTATAAAGTTAAGTGAGTGTCCCTGACAAAGGTCACACTGAGTAAAAAAAACTACCTCAGTGGTTCATTCTGCATAATTCATGACCAAAACATAAACACCATGAGAGTGTGTGATGAGACAGAAACAGCATGCTGCCTCTTCCCTCCTTTGCTTCCTTCCTCTTAGAAGAAATCTTTTTAAAACCTACTGTGGCAGCTGTCTGTTGACCTTACCTTGAATGAAAGCTGTATTCTTAGTGCTCATGCTGCTGCCACCTCCACGTCTTCTGTCTACAGTTTGTACAGTGAAACATCTCCTGCATGCAACAGGAGATGCATTTCTGTCTGACGGTAGATCATTTCAGGAGCATCACTTCCTCCAAGAACATCTCTAAGAACAGTGTGCAGCCACAGAGAGGAGTCTGAAGAACCGCAATGTGTCAAATAAATACCACCTGTCAAGGTCTAAACTGCCAAATTCAAAATGAAACACGAGAGAGGAAGACTTGTGGTGAAGTTAGCAAGCTGAGCACAAACACAAAAAGCACGTGCAGCTTCACAAGAAAAAAAAAAAGTTTGTTTCCTTTTCACTATTAGGAAGCTTCCTGTTACCAACAAAGGCTCCTTGAAATTTTTAGAATTACGTAAATGAACTTCTTACACAAACTAAATGAGTTAGAAAGAACTTCCTGTGACGACAAGCTAGCAGCAAAGTGTCCCATTAATGAAGCTAAAGCGCTCTCAGGTGCAGTTAGCGGGCTGGTGGGTGTGTTTGGGGGGTTAGGGAGGGCAATAAAGTACGTACCGGTGGATAAAGAGCTGGATCCCCGCTGCAGGACTTCATTGACCCGCTCTGGTTCTGCCTTCATGTGAAGTTGAGTGTTTACAAGTGCCAGCCGGTGACCGAGAGTGAAGAAATGTCACCGAGCTCTGACGGGGCACATGAAGGGGGCGGGGCTTCAACAAAGTCATCGTTGGTCACCGTAGCAACGGTAACAAGGAAGTGCCGGAGCCTTAGCAACCGGCCCCCGCGCCTCCAGACGTCCAGTAAAACTTTATCATTGTTTTAGCAGCATGAGGAAATAACTTCACACACTCACTGCAAACAGGTTTAACTTGCAGAGAAATGCTGCTGATCTACACAGAAGATCATATCAGAGTTCAGGACACACTGTTCAGCACATTTACAAACAGCAGGACTAAAATATATATAATGAAATAAAATTGAAAAAATTTAAAGTATAAAAATTAGAAAATAATTCATTCAATTTAATTTAAAAAAACAAACAATAAACTTTTCATTTTGGGTTTTTGTTTGTTTGCTTGTTTGTTTGTTTGGTTTCAGGGCCAATACCATTTATTTAATGGCAACCAATAAACAACATTTGGACTTGATATCTATTTACAGTAAAAATACCAAAAAATAAAAATAAAAGCCTTGGTGTCAAAACACAAACTCACAAACACAAAACGTTACTGAAAAGAAGCCTCTTTAGTCATGTCTGCTCGTGTTTAATTCAAATAAAGTTTTTTTTAAATTTTTTAAATTTTATTTTTTTTAAACATTTATCAATCAGTGTTGACAAACTACTACAGGTGGTGTGTATCCAGTCAGATAGTGTGGTAGGCAGAACATTTTTCATGTTAGAGATGTTAATGCTTTTTTTTTTTTTAATTATCATTATTATTTTTATTATTTCGATCAGGATTTAGTAAAAAGTAAAATAAAAATCTCTGCCAATAACTGGAAAAGTTGGACCTGGTTCTGGGTCAACCTTGAGTCTGTTTGCTGATATTAGAATTATTGTTAAATACGAGTCTGTTCTGCTTGCTTCAGCTCCATATAAGAGGAAGAAGTCTTCAAATCCTTGTTATGTGAAACAAAACAACACTCACATACAACTTGTCCTTGTTCTTTGGTGGAGCTCATCATGATGCCTGATTCAGGTGTGACAGCGAGCCATGTCAATCTGCTCAACTTGCAGACCGTCATCACAGCAGACGGCAGATCTGATCACTCTGTAGTTACGTCCCATCCGATGGCCCAACAAATCACACCAGTTAGAGTGCACTATAAATGTGCAGTATACTTTTCATGCTATGACATGAATATAAGACCATATCTAAGTATAAAACGTACAGATCAGCAGAATGTATTTAGTTCATCACAAATAAAAACCCTCAAGAGCCTCTTTCACAGATGATACTTTGGCACGTCACAATAGGAGCAATATAGAGTTATTTATGTGTTCCTGCCTGTGTTTCAGGGTCCTGCTGGTGTGTCTGCTGGCTGACTATTCATCCAGTATGAAGAGAACCATTGTTTATTCTCCTTTTCTATACATCTGTCAAAGAAATCTGTTATGCAGGTAGAGTGGCCTCGTTGTAGCACGTGTGTGTGTGTGTTCTTATATGCTCATGCATAAACAGAATCTGAATGTCGTAGCTCATTGTGACATAAGCTGAAGGACATTTGCTGAAGTGCTTGAACATTTCTCCATAAATCCACTTTTTATAAAGCCAGTAAATGTAGTAACACAATGCAATGATTCTATAGTGGCGTGGAGGTAAAGTACAAACATGTTTTACACATATGAGATAAATATATACCGTATACATGCCCGACTGTATAACAAAAGAACAAGGTCATTTACACATTAGTGCATCAGCAATAGCAATAAGATCATCTATGAAATGATGATGATGATTTACTCTTGATCATTTAGGAGAATTCTGCAGATACAAGTTTTAAAGACCGTTGTTATAGAGGATTTCTATTTGTTTTTAGTTTATATTAAGGTTCACAGTGGAGTTTGTGCAAAATAAAAATGGTATTATTTCACACAGCAGTGTTCATCAAACATGACCAACACACTGTGACAAACGTTCATCAGTTATTTTAAGCAGTGACAGACACATAAACATTGTGTTACATAAATGAGTTAAACGTTTGGATGATTCTCTGTCAATGCAGCAGCTCATTGATCAAACACCAGTTGCACAATTATGAAGAATGTTGCACAAACCTTACAGTGTGCCACACTTCATTTATGTAGAAAACTTATTTCTTCATATGTTTTTGTTTCTTACACATTCAAGGAACCCTCCAAAGTGCAACACACAGCTACGAGATCCTCAAAAGTGTTCATGAAAACACAAAAGAAGGATTTACCTACACTGTTGTCCGTGCAAAGTCCAAATAATTATTCATCCCAGTTAATTTTTTTTAATCTCATTTCACAGAAAAGTCACACTGACTTGCTGCTGAACGCTTAAAGCCAGAAAAACTGTGTAATTAATCACATTATCCTGTTTAAATACCCCAATCTGAAAGAAAACGTTTTAAATAAGTAGAATGCAGTTGCAGTACCAATGATCCACAGATGAGGGCAGTATAGGATCTGGTATGGTCTCACCAGTCTGAAAAATAAAAGCAAAGCCTTCCAGCGCCAGTTTTTCCATCATAAACCCGGAAATCTATGTTTAATCAGCTGCTTTTATAGCAGTTATTATTATCCTTATTGACCTTTCGCCGTACTGTAGCGAGTTTTAGACCCTCCATCTGGCCTGTTATGGTCCAATAAATGGTACACATGAGCTTGGACGTGGTCTAAGAGCTGGAGGTTCAAATCTGAGGAGGGGAAGAGTCTTATAGCGTGCCATAAAAATGTGTCTGCATATCAGCCAAGCAGGTGTAAAAGTACTCTCCCAGGCCACGTTTGTCACAGTTTCCCATTTCACGGGACAGAAACTACATGGATGTTCCACATGTGTGGCGGTGATGAGAGCCCTTGAGCTTTGACTGTCTCCTCTTCAAGTTGTTTTTGAAAGGCTGATTTGCAGCAAACAGATGCACGCGAGGCGACGCTCCAGTTGAGATTTCAGAGCCAGATGTGTTTACACTGGGGGTGGGGGGGGGGACACTGAGTAATGATCATTAACATAACGCATGTTTCTTGCATGAGTGAAGCAGACAACAGCCAGAAAGCATTCGCCGTGATCCTTTATTTGGTTTTTCAGTTCTGTATTTTCATGTATTTATTATGTGTAAACAACCTGGAAAACTACTGCAGCTGATTATCTATCATCCTGGGACCACCGTCGTCCAGCCCCATCACGCGTGGAGCCCACCGGGGGGACAGCAAACAGCCGAGCTCTGAAGCCGAGCAAGGATCGACTATCACTGGACCTCTGGGAGTCGTTTCCACCGGCAGAGAGAAGAACCAGGACTGAGTGGCAAGAAAGAGGAAAGCAGCCAGTGTCGCCGCACCGCTCTGGTTTAAGGCCTCGGAAGGACTGACATCACACTTGGAGAGCTTCGTTCTGCTCTGCATCTTAAAGTATGAGGGAACGTGTGGTCGGGGGCCTCGGAGTCATCTGTGCCACTGCTTTAGTGGTCTTTCGGTGTCTCTGGGATTCGGCTGTGATCAGAGATGTGCCAGCGGCGGGGGATGTGGCTGTGAGTGTGGACAGCTATTCCATCTGAAGCCGTGGCCTTTGCTGCATCTTCTGTGGCTGTGGGTTTTGGTTTTGATTGTCTATACGTGCTCTTTTTGTGCTTTCAGTCTCAGACTGTGTCCCTGGGAAGACTGAAAAACTCATTCACATTTTTTCGCGTGCGTCAGTGCCGTAGAACTTCATAGAGGGAGCTGGATCTGAGTCACTTCACCTCCGCAATCTGGGTAAACAAGTGAAAAGCCTCATGTAGGGCAGACCTACTTTGAAGGGTTTTTGTCACCTACGAGCACTCCAAATTTAGACTGTGTCTGACAGCTATGATGCAGTGCGTTTGTTCTTTTTTCATCTCGAGGTTCCCCGCTGGCTCTCGGGCTTTATTTACTTTGCTGCCCTTTTTCTTAAGGTTCACGGGCGATTGTTCTGTCACAGAGGACTTTAGCCTCGTTGGTCTCAAGCTGAAGCAAACGTGTTGTCGTGCACTCAGGATTATTTGTGGACTGAAAACAAAATCAAACCAAATAATGTTTTTTTTTGTAAGCTGAGGTTCATGATGGCCTTCCACTGTCTACCTTGAACCTCTAGGTGGCACTCTAAAGTATGGTTATGTGGTGAAAGCATGAAGCTCAGCACCTGTGGACTCCATTTGCAGTGAAAAAAAACTCCACACTAATGACTCTGCAGATGGAGATAAAGACTTTCATGATTAATTTATCACCTCTGCAAAGTGGAAGTTATTTTATGAATGGATAATCTGCTCTTCCATTCTTTTGTCTTTGCATTTCAAACAAACAAAAAAAACCCTGAAATCTTTTGACGCGGGGTGTCTTGTGTGAAAGGGGATTATTTTTTAGAGAGACGTGCCTCGCGGAAAGTGGAAATGTTGATTTGTTTTTAATGTGTTGTTGTCTGGGAGCGACGGTTAATTTGCTGTTGCAGCAGAAACGAGCCCGTTGGCATGCCGCTGTCACAAACAACTCCATCCTTCATGTTCTACCCTCTGCCTTCTATTACTCGTATGTACTTTTACATAACAGCGATGAAAGATCTGACCGATCTGACTTCTTTTTCCAAGGATGTGGTGCATGGCTGGCGTGCAGTCCTGTGGCAACCTGGCCTCCGACTGTTGCCAAGCTGGAAGCGTAGCGTGCATGCAAAGCAACCGCGCTGCTTGTATCACTTCTTATCACGCAGAGTCTTATTGTGCAAGACAAGCTATTACGTGGCCCATTTACAGGATGGCTGCTGATACAGTGAGGCGCAGCGTTATTAGCTCGGTGACATGGCGGAAAGCTTCCAGAGCTGCTGTTGTTGCATCGCCGCGTTCTCACTCGGCCTGTATGGATTCCATTATGATGAACAAATTACCTGCAATTGATTAGTGAGGCTCTCAGAGTGACCAGTGCTGAGAATCTGCACTCAGCCTTACTGT